CACCTCCTGGATCCATGCCATTCTCCTGCCTCAGCCTCCCGAGTAGCTGGGACTATAGGCACCTGCCACCACCCCCAGCTAATTTTTTGTATTTTTAGTAGAGACGGGGTTTCACCATGTTAGCCAGGATGGTCTCCATCTCCTGACCTCGTGATCCGCCTACCTCAGCCTCCCAAAGTGCTGGGATTACAGGTGTGAGCCACTGCGCCTGGCTGCCTCCATGTGTTTATAACTCTGTTAAATTAGGGTAGCAGAAAACTGTCTCTCTTTCACAGCAGAGCCTCAATTGTTTTTTCCTTGTTCCTGCTCTCTCCAGCACACTGGCCAAATCCACACCAATTCTGTCAGAACCTTCAAGTATATAGTGGTTTTTATTACTTTAATTACATAAAGTAAAATTATTTCTTTAAGATAAAGTTAGAACTATCTAGTTTTACTTAATTTTGGATTTTTCTAACAGTAAAAATGAATATCTTTCACATATTATTGATTATTTTTGTTTCCTCTCCCATGAATAGCCTATTCAAATAATCTTCATCCATTTTTCTATTGGGTTGTTTATATTTTATATATGAGTGGGTGGGTCACACCTATAATCCCAACTCTTTGGAAAACTGAGGCAAGAGAATTGCTTAAGTACAGGAGTTTGAGACCGGCCTGGCCAAAATAAGAATATTTCATCTCTTCAAAATATTTAAAAAATAAATAGGCATTCATGGTGACAGGTGCTTATAGTCCCAGCTACTAGGGACTCTGAAGTGGGAGGTTCACTTGAGCCCAGGAGGTTGAGGCTGCAATGAGGCATGGTTTCACCACTGCACTCCCGCATGGACAACAGAAAAAGACCTTGTCTCAAAAATAAATAAATGTTAGGTTGGTGCAAATGTAATTGCAGTTTTTGCCATTAAAAGTAATGACAAAACAGCAAGTACGTTTGCACCAATCTAATAAATAAACAAATAAATAAACAAACAAATAAATATTTCCAAAACATTTTTGTTTTATGCCTTTCCCAATCTGTTATTTGTCTTTGATCTTGTTTGCTGATCAACTCTCAAGCAAATACAGGTGGTATTATTTAAACAAATTTAAATTTAGTTTCCTTTATACTTTTTGTGTTTCATATATTGCTTTAAAAAAGAGGTCTTTGGCTGCACACGGTGGCTTACACCTGTAATCCCAGCACTTTGGGAGGCTGAGGCGGGCGGATCACAGGGTCAAGAGTTTGAGACCAGCCTGGTCAGTATGGTGAAACCCCGTCTCTACTAACAACACAAAAAAAAAACTAGTCGGGCATGGTGGTGCACGCCTGTAGTCTCAGCTACTTAGGAGGCTGAGGCAGGAGAATCGCTTGAACCCAGGAGATGGAAGTTGCAGTGGGCAGAGATTGCACCACTGCACTCCAGCCTGGGTGACAGGGCAAGACTCCATCTAAAAAAAAAAAAAAAAATCTTTGATTCCAGGCATTCAATGCACAATGTCTTATACTGTTTTCTAAAATTGTTACAATGGTTTTTACTTCTAAATTTTTCTGTTAGAAGTTTAAATTTTTATTAATCAAGGTGGATATTTACTAATGGCAGAATTACCTGTTAAATACATTCCTTTTCCCACTGAAATAAAATGCTATGCATATATTATAAATTATATGTATATATAATATTGTGTATATATATAATATACAATGTATATCTGTGTGTATATATAAGTATACACAGTGTACTAACACTCTTTTACTGTATACCGATCAAAAAATCTCAGGTGCTCACCACCACAGCATGTATTATAATGCTTGTTGGTCGTTAGGTTATGTAGGTATATGCATTTTGCATTGAGGATCTTTTTATGAATGACGACATATCACTTATTTATTATAGCTTTATAGTGTGATTTACTTAATGTGAGATGTAAAACAAACCCCATCTCGCAAAACAAATGAAAGCTTTGGATTTCTAGGAGGTGTTAAATTATATTTACAGGTTAAACGTAAGAAAATAAACATTAGTGATAAGTTTTCACATGCAAGAGTATATGATAAGTGTGTCATTAACGGTTTTTTCCATTTTCCAATAAAATTATTTGCTTAAGTTAAATATATTTATATGTATTTTATAAATGTATGTCTTTTGTTCCTATTATAAATAAAGCAGTTCTTATCTTACAGTAAAATGTCTGTATCATAATGTAGGAACATAGAGATATTCAATAAATGATGTAGAACTAATTTAAAAAGTAACTATACTTAAACTTTGTATGCATGATTAATCAGAATAAAGAGCTTTACAGCTGGAAGTTTCTTTAATCTTCTCCCAACTCCACCTCATTTCATAGACAGAAAACTGCAACTTTGGCCTGTGGAAAGCACCTTTGAATGGTCCTTTATAAGTCAGTGGCAGGTATTGAACTGAAACTCAACTCCTCTGGCTGCCTCCATGTGTTTATTACTCTGCTAAATCAGGATAGTAGAAAACTGTCTCTCTCACAGCAGAGCCTCAGTTGCTCTCTCCTTTTTCCTGTTGTCTCCTATACACTGGCCAAATCCACACCAATTCTGTCAAAACCTTCAACTATATAGTGGTTGTTATTAATACCCCTGGCCAGTCTAGGGTCCTATTCTCCCTCTGCAAATCACATTAACTTGGCTGATAAGTTAAGGAGAAAAAAATTTCTTAACAGCACACAGAGGGGAGAGAGTATTAACAAGTACAGTTACAAATGTGACAGTGATACACAGAAGGTGGATAAAACTGCAGATCGGGAAAAGCTTTGCAAAAGCTAAATCTCTGGGTTGATCTACTTGTTAAACAAAGCTCTCCAGGATAGCAACCAGAATGTTATTCTGTGTGTGTGTGTGTATGTTTATACGTGTGTGTGTGTGTGTGTGTGTGTGTCAAAAAGAAAGAGGAAGAGAGAGAGAGTGGGGGAGGGGGATATTGAGAATTCATAACAGGGATCATAAGCTCAAATGTCTAGAGGAGCCAAGGAAATACTATAAGTTTATAAAACAAGTGCATAGTCACACTGTTAGTAGTGGGATCTTTATTAACTAAGAGGCTAACGACTTCTCAGGGGTTGCCTACTGAATGTTGGAATGTTTCAATGGGGGAATATAGGTCTACTATTTCCATGTCTTTCCACACTTAAGATAATTTATGTGTATGTGTATATATATACAAAATCATCCAAACACTGCCATGTCCAAACAAACCTGTCTGAAGACCATATTGAGATCTTAGAGCTTTTAAACACATTAACTTATTTAATCCCTGGAATGTATGGAGAAATAATTATGTTCTTAATTTAATAGTACATATGAAATATATCATAATACATAGGAAGTAATTTTCTCAATGCCGCAAAGCCAGGAAATGGCAGAGCTGAAACCAGAGGACCTGTTCCTGACTGAGTCCCTAGTTTTTCCATTCATTTGATCTCCTCCCTGGCAGGGCTGAGCTATCACAGTAAAGAGTTTAGAGGACACGTAACTGTGATGGGGTTTATTTACTTCTCCTTCTGTGGGTTAGCTTCTAAATTCCTAAATTCTCAGCCTGGAGTTATACTATATCTTATTCTTTAGGAGTGATCCTGGACCCTGATATACTAAATAAGGATCGCACAGTCCTAGTGACTCCTAAAGTTTCCTTGTTGACCCTTTCTCATTAGGAGATCACTGGAGCCCTTTGGTCTGGCTCCATTCACAATGTCTTAAAGTGAGAGGTGAGAGTAGGGAGGCTCAGGTATTAAAGTTATTGTTAATTGGGTGTCTGGTTGGCCACAGTGGTGCAGATTCTGTGCTGTCATTATTGATGAACAGTAATACGGGGCTCCCCTCAATTCAGAAGGCAGCATCAAAGGGAAGAATCCACATCTCATGAACCTCCTTATGTATCTGTAATGTTAACTTCTTACTGTGAGGCATGCAAAGGAGAGAGCGTTGTGTTGAGCCTAGATGATGACTGCTCTGATGCACCCTAGAATTTTTACCCCAGAGAAACTTGAGGGACCTGGCTTCAGGACGCTACCTCTTTTTCTTTAGACTATTTTTTTTAGTTCAAATTGATATATTAATAGATCTATCAAGCACATACCATCAACAGAGTACTTTGTTGTCAAGAGAGTTAAAGTTGAATAATTTGTAGCTCTTGTCCTGTGGAAATTTACAATATAGTTAGTGAGAGAGATATATGCATCATGGTGGAAATACATATGGGCCTGCAACCATTGAGCATCAAAGTTTCAACCCCTTATATTTACTATAAACATTGTCAAGTGCCATGACCCTTCTATAACTTCCTCCCCAAATTGACTTCCACCAAAATTTGCTTCACCAAATGACAAAGTCTCTGTGTTTCCCTTTCACATCACCCGAGAAAAGTTCCTTAAACACTAACTTACATGCCAGTCACCTGAGATCTTGCTACAATGCAGATTTCAGCTCAACAGGCTTGCAGCAGGACATGAGATTCTGCAGCAATTTTAACAACTTTCTAAGTAATGCTGTTACTGCCAGTCAGCAGACCACACTTTGAATAGCAAAGTAAAGAACATACTTAGACAAACTCAGACACTTTATAAAGAGTTTAATGTAAATCACAATGAAAATAAAATAAAAGGAGGTAAATATCAAGATGTTAAATAGTACCAGAATTTTGTAGGGCTCTCCCAGGCACAGTTCAGGGCTACTTTTCCTAACTTCTCATTAGAAAATTTGCAAGAGTTTTGCTCTTCCTTCTTGTGTCTGAGAATTGATGTTATCAATCACCCAAAGAATAACAAAATAATTCATAACATGTTTATGAAATATAAGCCTCTTCTTTATCAAAAGTAGAAAAGCTGTGGTATATTAGATGTTCATTAGGGATTAGTTGATTGACCAATTAATTAATACATCTAATTGTAAAGCTATGAAGTAAATAGAACCATTTCCTATTTGAATGAAACACTTTCCTTCTCCTAAGAAAATGTATTGTGAAAAAAATAGAATTTCCACCTTTGCCCCATCATTTAGGCTTCAGAGCCAATTTTTCCAGGACCTTTACCCTAATCTGCCAAGTTTTTACACAATACACAATGGGATTCATCAAGGGTGGTACCAGCAAGAATGCATCTGCTCTCAGAATCGTAGCTAAAGGGGATTTATGCTTAGCAAAGCGATGCATGGTAGCCAAGGTGATGATGGGCACATAGAAGATGAGTAGAGCACAGACATGAGACACACAGGTGTTAATTGCACCCCCACGGGATGCAATTCCCAACACAGTCTTCAGGATGAACACATAGGAAATAGCAGTAAAAACACTGTCTGACGTCATGCAGAGCACAACAAACAAACCATAGTAAAAGTTAACCCTATTGTCAGAGCAGGCCAGCTTCATTACATCCTGGTGAAGGCAGTAGGAGTGGGATAAAAGGTGTCTATTACAGTATCTGAGTCTCTTTAAAGTAAAAGGAAGGGGTCGCACTAGGAGAATGCTTTTAATAGCAAACACTAATCCAATTTGCAAAACCCGGACGCTGGTGAGAATAGAGCTATATCTTAGGGGGTTGCGAATGGCTATGAAGCGATCAAAGAACATGATTAGGAGGACTGAAGACTCCATGTCTGTGAATCCATGGATGAAGAATTCCTGGACAATGCATGCATCAACAGAAATCCCCCATGTTGTTGAACAAGAAGTTCTCAGCATAGTGGGTAGGGAGGAGAAAGACAGGCCCAGGTCGGACAGGGCCAGCATGGAGGGGAAATAGTACATGGGCTCTTGCAGGGAATGCTCTCTTCTGATAACAAATAGGATAGTGCAGTTGCCCAGGATGGCCATGAGGTACATAAGGCAGATGGGGATAGAGATCCAAATGTGTGCATGCTCAAGTCCTGGTATCCCAATCAACAGGAATGTGGAGACTTCAACTTCTGAGGTGTGGAGCAGAAACATCACAGATAGGTCACTAGCTTATCTGCTCCAAGGCCTAAAGTAAGATGCACAATAGACAAAAATTTTTAATTGTATTTGCTGAATATATTTAAGTTCAGTTGTTGGTTAAATTAAATATAGCTCAATCTTAGGTGTCAAGAAATAGCATAATATATATTTTCCTATGTAAAGAAAACAATGGAAAATATTTAAACAGGTTCATCACAGGATTCATTTAAAACTTTTATGTTATTTTTCTATCTTTAATCCCTGATATATTTCTGAATAATTTTCTAGCTAGAAAGAAAGTGCTTTGATACCCACTTTTTTTGAAATCCTCCCTTTTTGAGGTTTTTGCTTCAATTAAACTAAGTGGAATTTATTACAATCTACTGTCATGTGTGTGGTCAATAGTCATGTACTCACACAAACCACAGATGCATGCTGTAGTAACAGCACTTAGGGGAGGCCTGAATCTTATGTTATTGATCTTGGTACATGACTGTGAAAATATATAGAATTGGTCTACGACAGAGGTTGGCGAACTGTAATGCAGTCAAACTCAGCCCATGGCCTGTTTTATACAACATGTGGGGTTTTTCTATTTTTAAAGGATATTATTAAAATAAAAAACAAGAGAATAAAAAGCATATATGGTAGGGATGATAAATTCCTGAAAATTATACACATTGTAAAATGATTCACTTTTCGGGTATTCACAGAAAAAGATAGGCTCAAAACCTCAGAGCGATCTTCAAGTCTGGTAGCAAACACTGTTTGCCAGATCTTGACGGTAGCCTGAGGCAGGGCAGTGTGAGTAAGCACAGCACCTCAGTGACCAGAGGAGGAAGAGCTCCTCTGACCCAGCTCTCATGACTTAGATGGCTAGTGACAGCAAGAGACTACCTTAAGTGGTGCAGAGAGGATGGCCATGTGTGATCGTTTGTCCTTTCATGGAATGTCTCCGAGCATGTCTTGGCAAGGGTAAAGAGGAGGTTGCATTCAGCTAGAAGAAACTAGAAAGTGGTGGATAGAAATAGAAAGTAGTGAAGGAAAGGGGAAATAGTAACTATTCTATAGGCTGCAAAAAAATTTTAAAGACCTTTGCCTCATGTTGACCTGAGTTAGGAGCTATGAGGCAGGCTTAGTGTTATATGTGACCAACACTTCCTTGTTATGCATCCCATAACACAGATGCCATTTGTATGTGTTTAAAGTACTCGCCACCTTACAGTGCAATTGCTACTGGCCCTGCTCAGAATGGTCATAGCTCTTGTCTTTGTCTGTTCATGGATTCTTTTTTCCTATTGCACTTGGCTTCTCTGTGTCTACCCTTTAGATTGGTGACCAGTGCAGGTGTCTGTCTCTGGAATTTGGGTTTGATACTGTTCATACTCCTAGTGTCAGCATTAGTGACACTTCGGGTAACTTTCCTTTCAGGAGCTGTAGAATAAAAAGCTCCAATGGTGTGGCTAACTGCCTGTCCTTGTCAGAGGATCAGAATTCTGACAGAGAAAAAAGTGATAACACAACATCCCTCTCCCTTCAATGAATCCCCTCAAAATGGGCCATTCCCAAGGTTTGATGCCTGAGGCCTTTGTTGACAAGCTTCCAACCTAACTCCGGTAACTCCATAAATGAGTCACTACTGGCAACATTGTTGTATTCAACTGTATTCATCATGTAAATACAAGTAAGTACCCCATGCTACATGAGGACACTAGTCTTTTCAGCCATAAACCGTGTCCAAAATGGAGCTTGATCTCTTAGGTTGAACACCCACGAAACATTTTTACCTCCATTATTCTGAAAGATATAGGGTTGTCTACAAAACTACAGTGTTTTCATTGGAAAAGATAAAACCATCCTAAGGAAATTCAATTTCATTCACCAGAACACTTACCAGGCTTCTAGCTACCTAATTCCAGACCAAGAACAGGAAGCCTTCAGATCCTATAGCTGCTGCAGCTTCTTTGTTCCAGCACTCTGTTGGGAATCTGCACCTTTGTTTATATCCTCATACTCTTCGTTAGCAGAGGAACATCCTCTTGAGAATTAATAGACACCTAGTCCCCTGGGAACAATGACTTCTGTTTTGATTTTGCTTTGATTTGTCTCATCAATGTCTGTCAATAATGAGCTCTCCTAAGTGAGCAGGCTCTGAATCACAGTGAAGGCTTTAACTGATGTGATTCTGTTTCCATACAGGTGCAGGATTTGGGGACAGTCACTCTAAGGCATTATCAAAGACAGCCCAAATCCAGCAATGGCTCTATCTAAGATTCAGTGTATACCTTAAAAGGCTCAACATAAGCCAGTCACAGAGGTCAGAGACAGGCAGACTTGAGGTGGAATCCTGCCCACAAATGTGTTCTGTTTGGTCATCACAATGTTTAAATAGATTTTTAATGTGATGGCTTTAGGTAGGTGACAAGGTCTCTAATTTATCATAGGCTCCCTCTTTCTGCATTGTCTTATATCTAGCCCTTTAACATTTATTGGTCCTCAAAGGCACTTAATCTCACAAAACAAAAAGTAATACCCAGGGTTACAACATGCTTAATAACTCAGACTCTCACATTCAGAAGAGAAATTGTTCAGCCCACTACCTTTGAAAATTAGAAATAAATAAATTGTATAATTCTGCTGGTATATTGTGCAGGGGCATATGATTTTCAGATAAAGAAAACAGAACATAAGATTTAGCAAAATACTATTGGCCTGAAACAAAGTATATCAGATAAATGAACCAACTTAGACAGCCAACAATGATGACTACATCTTCAGGTTAATACAAGAGGTGATGTGATGGAGTTGGGGGCTGTAGTCATCAGTTAGGACAGGCAGAAAATTGGAGAAAAGAATCCAGTAAACTAGCAGACTGATACTATAACATGGGCCTAGTTGCTTAACACCTCTGAAAATTTGCTCATTTGTAGAGCTTTGATAAAGCTGTGAACCCTACTTAAGGTCAGAATTTTCTGGTATTTAGTAGCCTTTTACTACAAAATCATGCCAGTAGAAATACAGTCAGGATTATGATACCTAATATTCTGCCTTCAGGAAAATATCAGTCCTAGTTAAACACTGTATTATTTTCCTAAAGCCTTAGGTCCCCTAGACTCAAGGCTTCACTAGACTTGGGTAGATGCAGCCCTGGCACTCCAGGGCAGGAGGGTGACTGAAACCAGATTTGTTAGGCCCTGAATATATTTAGAACTGGTTGCTGAGGATGACAGACAAAAGCGATACAGAATATCCTTTGAAATGGTCCTCTTTATTATTACTGGACCAGAACAAAATAACCATGAAGGCCTACACTAATTCTAGCCAATATACCCAGCCTAGGTTTCTCAACTTATTGCCCTGGCATTTGTAAAGGAAAAATTGCAGCTGTTATGAAAATATAATGAATGCCTAGAAAGGGGAGCACATAAGTGTTGAACCAAGAAAGCATTGCAGACCTAGTTAGATTATCCTAACTAGAGAAGATAATCCTAAAGGATTCTGTTCATTCAAACTTTAATCTTTATTCAAACCTCCAACCATTAGGAAAACACATTTTCTGATATTTAAAAAAAAAAAAAAATCTCCCCCCGCTTTCTAAAATAGATAGTACAAGTAAACTTTCTTCCTTTCCCCATCAATTCTTATGTTACCTACCACAAACAGCATATCTACTGCCGTCATCATTCATTTATTTTATATGTATTTCCTGATGACCTATTATGAACAATGTATTGTTTCCAACTACTGAGAAACACAGGTGACCAAAATAGATGCATTGCTTTTATTGAGCTTATAGTTCAGAGGACAACTATGGATCACCAGTGAGTAGGATAATCAATACAAGAAGCTTTCAGAAACTTTCAGAGGTAAACTTCCAGAAAACCTTGAACCTAAACCTAGAGCAGTTTTTAGCAGGTAATGAGGAGCACCTCTTCAGTCTACACTGGCTTCGAAAAATGAGGAGCACTAGTTCCTCACATTCCTATTCTCATACACAGATAGGAGACATAATTCAATTTGATTTTTCACATTCGGAAAAAAATGTATATTTTAACTAGAGTATTACCAAAAGGAGTGCAAGTTTCTAATGTTGATGTATTTTTTCCAGCATCAGGCCAGAATCATAATGGAATCATATGGCTCATGTTTGCCTTATGGTAGATCCTTCTGTTACTTCCTGACATGTATCTACATCATTTTGAGTGGAAAATTAATTGGTCTTCAGATCTAGAAAAGGCTACAGGGTCACCAGGTCAAAAAAGCAACTAGAACTATGAAAAAATTACAAGTTTGTTTTTGTTTTGTTGTGGGTTTTTTTTTTGTTATTTTTTTTTAGGGAACAAAACAATTAGAACTCTCACTTGGAAAGGCTAAATTTAGGTGATTTTTAAGAAAAAAATGAAATAAAATCTATTATCTTTCTTCTATTTTTTTATCTGATTTGACTTGCTGCCCTAACTCTTCCTCCTCCATTTCTGCTTTCCTTTACTTCTCCTTTTTATTGTTAATAACAATAAATAAATAATAATAATATTGTTAATATCATCATTTTAACATAAAAGGGTGTAAACTTAGTAATAATAAATATTCCCTGCAGAAAGATTTTTCTCTCAGCATCCTTCCTGAGACCACTTCTGTATACTTTATGTGCTCATAGCACTTTCTCCATTGCCCTGGAGCTATCCCCATATTTTCTAGAAGACTTGGCATGTGGATACCCTTTTCAGGATCATTTTTCTTCTCTATTTGGAGTTTTAAAGAAGAGGAAACAAGTTGGTAAGCATATCATTTTAATTGACTTATGGGATTAAATAACAGAACTTGCACCAAAAACAATAACAAAAAAGAACAAGGATAGATTTCCAGTACAGTAGAAGAAATAGTTCATACCTCATTCTGAGGTGACTGCATTTTCTGTGAACCTACAAGCTCTCCAGGATAGAGCATCAAGGTTTGAGCTGACCCTGTGAATTCACTACTTCTAGTGCATCACTGCAAATATTTTAGCCTCA